TCATGCCCTAGCCTATCTACCATAAAAATATGAGCGAAATCGAATTTTCGACCCTTGCCGAGTTATTTCCCATTTTTATGGACAGGGACTCTTAACAGGTTACCATTCAAATTCCCAAGATGCGCTTCACATATCTATTATTTGACCTCCACAAAACAGTCACCTCTATTAAGCAGACATGGTCACCATTTGGACTTCCCAATTGGCTAATTTCATTGTAATTCACCTCTGTTGAACAGTCATCTTGTAACATTAGGTGGTCAACTGGAGCATAGTTTTAAGGTCACGAAGAACTCTTGTTGGCACTGAACAAAGTCAGTGACTTACTTCATCAAATTAAGTTATGCAATCCCAAATCACAGACGACCACGAATGATTTTTTCATGTCATGTTAAATGAGATGCAATTACCTGCTTTAAGGCAAAGATGCTTGACACTTGAATTCTAAGGGTAACCATGTCAAGTTTACGCACTTCGTGTTGCTTGCTGTCAGTGATGAAGCAAAAACATGACTTTCATGGTTTTTTTTGTTCATCGTATAATAAAACAATTATTAGATTCAGTTTTTGTGATATCCATAATAATCAAGGTCTCAGTAAACGTTATCGATAAAGGTTAAAGATAACCCTTACTTCGAACTTGATTATTCTGGATATCACAAAAACCTCATCCAACAATTGTTTAAAATCTGTTGAATGGTGCATGGACTTCTTAGATATATTTCGCATTTCAGTTGTTAGGAACAATAAATGTAGATTGAGTGCTTAATTTTGTCATCGTGTTCAGTTTTTTTGTCCAATAATGCGCTAAATTTTGACAACCTCTTTTGAGCAGTCAACCTCTACGAAGCAGTCACCCAGCTTTTTCCAGAGGATGACCACTTAATAGAGATTTGACTGTATACAGAACATGCTGCCTCAGCCTGGGCTGTATGACTGGTCCAGTACTTACTATGGTAATAGGGAAAATAACCAATGTGAAATAGATCAATGGAGCAAACACTCTATACATCAGCTGAGTTTTACATTCTACGTGGGAAAGTTCCAGAGCCAAGTTAAGGACTCCTGAAAAGGAAACACATACACACACAAATGTACAAGTCTGCTGCAAAGCATTTAATAATGTAACTTACAGTAATTGTTTAACATTAATGTGCCAGCCTTAATTTCTCAGTTGCTGTTAAAGTTCAACACTTTTGGCAATTTTTGTGGCAGTTGATTTTAATTTCAAGACAGGTATGGAAGCCTGATATACTGATTAGGCCATCATGCCTGTGATGCACTGAAGTTGACAATCTAGGGGGAGGAGGTTGGTAGGTGTTAACGATAGGCTGGGTAAGCCAGTTACCTTCAGAAGGTCATTCCCCTTTAGCACAGTAGACATTATTTCTTAAGAAAAAGAAATGCCAATATTAAATGTTCAATAAAGAATCCCCTTCCCTTCCTTCCTTCCCTTTGTTGGCTGTGGGTTTTTTTAACTTCTTGTGACTATGTTTCTAGCACGTATTACCCATATGCATGCTAAAACAGTGGTTTTCATATGTTGTGACACACTTTTGTACACTTTGTACTTCATGTACACACTTTCCATGCGTGCATATGCATACAGTTTTTTGCATCCATGGAGTGGTTCACTTTTTTCATATAATGAGCAGCTCACTTTTCTAGTAAATGTACTTGTGTTTTTGTTATTTTTCTGGTGACCTCATGTAAACGTAAGTTGTGAAAGTATGGGTACGAGTACGAGGCACTTGGCCAGGGATCTGGAGATCGGTTCGGTTTTGGTATAGGTTTAGTTTCGTGTACAAGAGGCTATTGTTCTTCTGGGAATGATAGCAGGAAAATCGCAGCGAAAACACAAACGTTAATGACAAGACACATTTAAGCTCAAGTGAAAAGAGAAGTGATTTATTTATTTCCATTCCTTTTTCGATTGTTAAAACAATTTGAGTAAGTATTATTTCGTTTGTTGTGAACTGTTTGCCACCCTCTGGAAAAAAGACTAGACATGAGCCCCCCCTAACTTCAGAAATTTTAGCCTCTGACCCCCCATCCCCCTCAGAATTTCCAACGCCCTTCCATGGGAGGTATGGATATTTTCTGGAACTAAACACCCTGAAGAAGGGCTAAAGCCCGAAATGGTTACTAAACCAGCTACTATTTGACACTTTCAAGAGCCTTTTCAGCCTCATATTTTATATCATTTACCTTGTACTTCCAAACACATATGCAGGACAAATGGAGAAATCACATTGACAAGAACAGAAATTGTTACTTAGTATCCTTACTTAGTTGTACCATAGGTACTTACTATAGTTGCACTGTATTAAGTAGTTACCTATCACAGCAAGTTCAAAGTAGTTGAACACAACCAGAGTTGCAATCACAGAGATAAGTCCATTCACCCTAGAGAGGTTTTTCTTTACCTCAAGAACATCCTAAAATATCAAGAAACAGTCAGGTCACAGCAAATACAGTACACAAAGCCAGATGGGATAATAATATTGATTTCTAATGGAAATACTTGGAAAGTACATTGAACATTCAAACCAAGTCTAAAAAACCTATCATATGAAAACATAACCTTTTCAGTGTAACAATGAAGAATTGACAGAAGCATTTTTTCTGATCTTATCAAAATTCCTTTATTATGCTTAAGCTCTAGAATTACATGTACAATATAACTACAGCTAACATACAAACTGACAAAGTTTGGTGTGGTTAAGGTTACAAAAACAAACAAGAATAATTATTATTACCTTCATTATAATGCTCAAATCTTTAGTTTTTTCCTCCATTCTCAAGCCAATTTCTCGAAGATAGAATATCAGCAGTTCACATTGTGCACAATAGTTGACAATGGTCACAACACTGACACATAGCTCCACAATTTGACCCAACACCATCAGACAAACTACTGCCCACTGGGCACTAATGATGGAAAGAAAAAAACATTCTAACTTAGTTTACTATAATTTAACAGGTACAGTCACTCATAATGCTGAACACAATGGTTTAATTCATTATAATATAATTAATTACTTTAAAAAGTTTCTTGGATTGTTATATTAATAACAAATTGTCGATTTTAATTTATTTTCCAGTTTGAATATACTGATAATAAAAACAATGACAACACTACATTTGCATTTTTTTGGAATTGACACAGAGCAGACACAAAGTGCATACAAGGGGTAGGGGGTAGGGGGTAGAGGGTAGAAGGGGAATTTATGAAGAGAACTGTAGCTATAGCATTGCGGCCATGTGGTACTAGGATATGTTACTCTCCTATCACTCTGGTTTCCAGGTAAGCCAAGTTGCAATGTAGCTACTTGCCATGGTTTACATTTAGCAAGCCTTTTTTTTTCTCATCGAACAGTTTATGTGAGAAGTTTTACCTTGGGTTGTATCTAAATCCTGTTACTGAGGCCAAAGAGAAGGCAAAACAGAAGAGTATAAAATTACCAACACCAAGAATTGCCATAACAATGCCTCCAAACAGAAAGAACCTGCAATTATAAGAAAATACAATATTATCACATTGAAGGGGTCAATTTATCATAACCCTCCCTAACATCTCCCATGTAGGTATCCTTGTAACCACTCTGACTTGCTCTGAGGCAGTGTTGGGGGCTGGTTGCTGTGTTCCAGCCAGTCCCAAGTGAGCAGTTGTTTTACTAAAAATAACCAAAAAAAATAACCAACAAGGAGGCTAAATGGTGTGCTCACAAATGGGTTCCTCGCTTTAAATGCATTTTAAGCTTTTGAAGGCATTTCGAATGTATTGAGTAAATTAAGTTTCAGTCCCAGGTATCAACCAGGTAACTCATCAGTGCACAGGTGTTTGACTCCAGCTTCTGTAGCATGAAATAGTCTGCATACAAGCCAAGTGGCCCACCAGGCCGGAGCTTATCCCAGTTTCTGTAGCATGAAGTGACTACGAGTATTTCTACTCCCCCCTGGATGGTATGCTGGTCCATCGCAGGGTTACCCCCAGCATTAAGTTCACCGGTACCCATTTATACACCTGGGTGGAGAGAGGCACTGTGAGAGCAAAGTGTCTTGCCCAAGAACACAACACAATGTCCCCGGCCAGGGCTCAAACCCGAAATGCTCAATCCAGAAATGAGCACACTAACCACGAGGCCACCGCACCTCCCAAATATAAATGAAATACCTTGGAATAAATATTTCCACTCCCAGAGAGGAGATGCTAGTTCTTTGCAGACTATCAGCAGCAAGTTGTCAGGCTGGCTTAACAATTAAATGGTACCCAGAACAAGGAGACACTGAGAACACACCACACACACTCCAGCCAGGACTTATCAACTATTTGAAATAATATCGACGCCACATTATATGGCATATGAAACAGTTCCCACGATAATTTCTTCCTGAGAAAAGTACTTTGTATATGACAGCACATACCGCAACCTTGAGACAATCTTTTTGGGTACTGAACTAAGCAAGAAAACCTGAAACAAAAAAGGTAAACAGTTATTGATGAATTAAGGCATGAGAAATGCACGTAGCTTTGACTGACAAGAAGATAGCTAGTTTCTAGATATGGTATGCCACTCACATAGACAAAACAAAGAAGGGGAATACCTTTTCTATCAGTGCATGGAGACCTTCATTTTCCTGGATTCTAAACATGTAAAACCCAAGCAAAAATGCCATGAAGTGAAGAAGATCTGGCACCACATACGTGCTAACTATATGGGTACACTCAGTCACAGCAGGTTTCCAAATTGGTCCAGCCTTGGCCAGAGTAAGAATGGTCACAAATGAAATAACTTCAGGAGTTCCTGTCTTGCTTCCCAATGTTGAAGGAACAACACTTGAAGTAAGATTATTCCAGTTTGATGCATTACTAGAGGTGGTGAAAACTTCAGAATTGTTGCTGTTAATAATTTTGTACTGTTCCATGGTATGAGTAGGTGTAGCTGCTGTAGTTACATTTGAATGATTTGTTTTAGGTGTTGTGCTGATGTTCCTGTGTGTCGTTGGTTGTACTTTTGTAGGCTTTATCGTTACTGTTGGAGCTAAAGTAGACTAGAGTAAAAGAGAAAAGACAAGTAACTGTTAAGTTTAGAGCTCGTGAAAAGTAATGTTCTCTAACTAATTAATATGTGTTGCAACGGGCATGTTTAAAACATGTTTAAAACAAGAAATGACACTACTGTCAGCCTAAATAGCGTTCAATGACTCGACAGTGGTTAGTTCTCAATGATAGCAAGGGTTACCATTCTAGACACCTGTATCCCACATTGGCTTGTAGTGCCATTAGCCCATTTTGCCATTTGGTGTTTTGAACACGAACTAACTGCTAGGTAAGTGGGACAGAAAAACAACTGTTAACATTATTTTATATCATGTGAGAGGTATAGGTGGAACAGATCATTTAAGTGACGTTAGAAGTGAGCTTGATACAGCAATAACAACTTCACTTTCACTGTTGACTGAAGAACACAGTTAGGTCAAGACTGCAAAATAGCAAAATCATTTCATCTACTAGGGATATTGTGCAAATCCAGAAAATATACATGCTCCCAACACAGAAGGGATTGGAATTTCCTTAGGGCTGGGGTCCTGTAAGACCAAAACATTGAAAGAAATGTATGAAGCTGTATTGGAATTTCCAGAGGGGTGGAGATCTTAGAAAAAGTCCCTTCTGCGGCAGAGGTATGGACATTTTCTGGAACTACGCATTGTTATGACATATCACCAAATTCTTAGAACCAACATAATAAAATTAATATTTCGGCAATCATTAAGGAGAATATACCATTTTCAGCTTGGCAACAGAGGCTTTAGTACTATTACAATCCAGCCATTCCACAGTTATGATTACCCAGTTCAAGTTCATTATAGCTCGATAAAGCACACAGCCAATGTCACATGTACACGTTTTTTTGCATTATAATGTGCACAGGTCAGAAAACCTGCTACTTATGATTGTTGAGTTATTTATTAAGCGCATAGGTCTTTTTAAGAACATTCATGAAGTGTGAGAAGCAATCAGCTACATTTTACGCTTCTCTATGTACTTCTCTCCTATCCTTAAAAGTTCTTGTGCACTTAAGGATAATCATAAAATAATAATAATGATGATAATGATGATGATGATGATGATGATGATGATAGTGGTGGTGGTGGTGGTGTTGATGATGATGATAATAATATAGTAAATTTAGTACTATATAGTGCTGCTTCTTCAGAATCCAGCAGCACTTTAAAACTCGTCAATGCACTCAAGCATACACCATACCTCAGATTTGATCTCCAGCCTTGCTTGGCATGCTATAATACTTGATGCATAACTAAAAATAATCAGCAGAAATATAAACAGCGTGTACAAAATGTTGAGGATTTTTCGTACAGAACATCCTTGATAATGGTAAGACTGAATGTGGAATGGTCTCCAGGATACCTGAAAAAAACAATAAGTAACAATTATTCTTTGAAATCGAGGTAAACATTCTGCCACTATTCACTGAATGTTTTAGTATATACACACACAAAGAGATCTCAACAACAGATTCACTGATTTCAAACTTACCAATGAGAGCATGTAAAAATATGGATAAATAACCTGACGTTTACACGTCAGCAGCAGATTTGTTGTTTCATTGAAATCTCCTTTTTCATGAAAGTCCTGATCCCTAATCTGAAACAAAATGATTGACAAGCTTTTTCAGTGTTACATTCAAAGCAACTCTCTCTTAATATTCATCTTTCAGCATGCTATGTAACCAGGATGTGATGGGCAGTTGAGCCAAGTGCATCAAGATGCATGGTACTATATTTTGAAAAACACCAAGTACCAGACAGTTTAACCAGACACTTTAAGGGGATATGGTACCCTAAAATATGGCGATGTTCATGAAAAATTCAATTTCTTGGAAATACAAGACTTAAGACCCTTGAGGACTTGTCAAAAACATTTTGAAATGATTTTGCCGAATTTCCTTCCAGATGAGTGTGAAATTTAAGGAAAGTACACCGTGGTATAAGTTTTTTCATGTAGCAACGGCCATAGCAACGACTGTTTACTATAAGAACGTGACCAAAAATATAGATTATTTTTAACTTACATGAACGAAACTATTTAGAAAAAAACTTTTAAGACATGCACGACTCGATTGGTATAATTATTTGTGAAAAGCTTTGCCTCAAATTGCCATCACAGGCTCATTCATTTCCCTTATGAAAAGGAATATTTCCCACAACTGCAGTAACTTTTTACAAAATAAAACAACCATTGCACCCCTCCCCCGAGATCCAATCTGCATCCCCCTTCCCCACTATTTGTGGCTTGTTAAATGCTTAATACTTTGTGTAAGAAACTTAAAGCGCATTTTTCTCAAAAGTTTACTTTTGTACCAACTGACTTTGCGCCAAGATTTCTACTTTGCAAGGTTTTTAAGTAGAATTCCCAAAACTTGGGTGTTGCAATGATATAAACCAAAAATATCGTAACATTTTAAGATCTGTCACGTGACATGAGATGATTTGTCCACTGGGTGTGGTAAAAAATAAGGTTATTTCCAAATAAAGCTGTAAAAAGCACT